ACAATCTTTGGGTCCCCACTGGGAAGAAAGTTGCAGTATAAATAAATAAATTCTGCCATGAAGCTCTCTGCAACTCCCATTCCGCCATGAAGCTGTCTTGGTGACATTAAGCCAGTCACTGTTACGGTTTAGCATAAAATGGAGTGGAATGCTGTATACCTGAGCACTTTATTAGAAAAGGCATGGTAAAAAGGTACTAGAAACAGAGGAAGAATGTTGGGGGAGGTGAGAATGGCACTTGAGTCTGCAGACCCTCACCCATCCATGGTAGCAACACAGAGGAAGCCCATTTGCAACAAGAACTCACATCTCCTACTCCATGTTGCTAGTGGTTGACCAAAGGGTTCTGGGTGTGTGTTTGAAAGGGAAGCACAAAGGCAGAAAAGGTGTTCAGAATGGCGAGAGGAGTGGACTAGCTGGCTAATGGTGTCTGGTACAAAAAAATACATATGTGAAAGTTGGCCAGGCACAATTGCTGATCAGGACAATAAGCAGATATGTTTAAGAGTAGAGGCAAGGCCCAGTAGTTTATTGACCTTGGGTGGTGAGGGATTATTCCGTGGTAATGACAAGTCCTCTATCCAGCAGCCTTTAGAGAGCCAACCCCAAAAGAACACCCAGCAGGTTCACATACACCACAAAGTGTTTAATTTGTAATACATTGGCAGGGATGTGTGAAGAGCCATCAGGTAGGGCTTGGGTGAGATGACTTCCAGCCTCCTTCAGTTTCATTCAGGGGTCGGTCATTTGGGGGGGGGGACGCCATCCCCCCGGGTGAGGTGCGGGAGGTCGGGGCCTGGAGCTCCCTGCTGGTGCCCGCTGGAGGTCGCCGCCGGCTGTGGGGAGGACACACTTCCGGTGATGTCAGGGTGTGTGACATATGCTAATGAGTTATGCTAATGAGTCCCCCTAGCTCTTTTTCTACGAAATGACCCCTGGTTTCATTATGTTATGATCCAATGACCAGAACAGGGATAAGGGGAAAATGAAGCTACTACTTCTCATTAGACTCACTAAGAGTATCCAATCAGTATTGTTTTTACCCAGAACACTAGATAAGGACACACAGTACAAGATCTTGCATGAGAACTGCTCCGGCTTCACTTATCTAACTTAACAAAATATACATAATAAAAAGAACCAGAGCTAAGGCTGGAACAGTGTGTACATTTAAGTCCAGTTCCTCTTTACATTTCAGTTTTTGCTCACTGATGATTTATAAAAGCCAGGATAGGGAAAAGAAATCTCTCTCTAAAGTGAACTGTTCTGTGCTGATTTGCCATGCCAAGGCCCTGTTGCAAGCATTTGAGCTTCCTGATCCAATATATTTAAAACATGATGGTTTCTACAGCAAACAAGGGGATGATGTACGATCCAGAGATGATCTGATTCATCCAGTTTCCCGGAGCTATGCAGTAAAATCTGGCAGAGATCATTTCAAGTAACAGCTGACTCTGGTTCAACACAGACATTTCAGCAGAAAACACTTGGACCTTACATGACTATTAACGGGGTCCCATGAATATTGAAATGAACAAAGGAACTCCAAGATTCATTTGAGAGTTGGAATTAGTTTCCACTTCTACTTGTGCAATCTTAATCTGTTTATACTGATGTAGGTAATTAGAGCAGTCCAGTTGCTGTGGAATGAACCACACTCATCCCAGTTTGGTTAGCTGGACCAGCTTCTTCACAGTCTTGAGCTAGGAAAAACTGGTGCTTCTAACCTGCACATGCTTCTGTTCCTCCCATGTCAGCTTTTGAACTAAAAAAACCCCCAACTCATTATTTCAAAAACAAGGCAGTGAATAAGTGTGTTTAAAGTGGCTAAACTTGTGCCAGAAACATTTGAGAAAAAAAAATCCTTTAAAAGGTAGGCAGACCCTTTGAAGCATGAGAGCTGTGTGAAGAGGCTATCATCATTTTATTTGGAAGCTGGTCATGCGTTGAGGAGCAGAGGGAAGTGTGTGCTGTCACATGTAAGCAGAGATCACTGTGCAGCAGAAAGTCTCATCTATGCTCCTATTTGCAAGTCTGATCTGGGCCAACGATTATATCTGAGGAGTAAAGATGCCCTGAGCAAGTTCAGATTTTCAAAAAGCTGGTAGCAAAGGGCTTTGTTAGGTGGTATAATTTAAATGCAAGGCTTTCCAAGGCAGGCTTTCTCACTTTACGTTTCTAGAACAGTACTTGAGGTCTTCTTCCTCTCTCCACTGTAACCTACCTTTAATGAATGTCTTTGGCTATGTCACAAGGCAAAGTATGGTTCTGCCGCTTCCATGCTAGAGGGCACTGTTTGAACCGGAAAAAAAACCCGCTGACAAAATGCAGTTCCTCCTTTGAAGTGCATATTAGACCAATGTGAAGTCCTTATTTCCTTTCCCCACAGTACACATTGTAAAGATGAGGAAAATTCCTGAGAAGTTTTGGTGGTCTTATTGAAATGCTTCCTTTTGAAATTCCTCAGGTGTGCTGCCCAAGTGGAAAAGCTCCAGCTTAATCACTAATGCTGCTTTAGGGCAGGTTGTATGACATTGCTTCTGCCAGAGCCAGATGAAAGCGGTGTCAGCTGATTAACTGTTGTGCTACCACACGGAGCAGCCCCAACCATGTTTTGTAACTTCGGCAGGTTCACCATGGTTGACCAAGA